CCAGTAAGATTTTCAAAAACCCCTGCAAATTTCTTCTTCATTTTAACTTCCATGTACAATTCTAAATTTTTGTACCTTGTAGTTTTTAGTCAGTAAATTTTAGAAATGACTATATGGGTTTATGATAACAGATATACTAACCTATTATAAATTATTGTGCATTTAGATAGAGGTAATAAAAGGCCACTGTATGATTGAAGAATAAACTAAAGTTGATCTACTGGATAGTTCAAATTTCCGCTAAGTTGAAAATGCAGACATGAAAGTAAAAAGTTGTTTTCTATGTCTGGAAAGTAGGGCTATTTTAAGTTTAGAGGTTAATAACATAGGGAGTATTTTCGTAACATTTCTTTTTAAAACTGCCTTCTTTGCAATTAAGCTTTAATAAGTATTACTGAAATACTCCATAAAGTCAGAAGAATAAGGTTCTTTTGTTACTAAAACCCATCCTGGGACCTGACCTGAGTGTTAAGGCAGTCTTCTCTTCTTCCTACCATTGCTTACTTCTATTCAATTATGAATTTCCTGCTGGATGTTCAATTTCTCATTTCAGTACTTCTTAATATGCCAGCTGCTACTCTGACATACAAATATTGGTTGTTTGTTGCTTCTGTTTTCAACCTTGTTACTATGTCTTGAGAAAATTAGACACTATCAGCTTTTATTGAACATTCTTTATCCGATGACACAACCTGAAAATCATTCTTTATGTACTTTATGATTGGCAGGGTTAGCAGTGACATGAATAAAGGAATGATGGTCTCTCTGTTAACATCTCGGAGCTCCGTATTACTATACTGAGGTCTAGTTAAAGCTCTGAAACTATCATGTCTGATGAGATATATTCAGCTGATGAAGAAAGAAAAGGATAAGGCAAGCATGCAACATGTGGAAGGATGATAAGCTGCCTTTTCCGTAGGAAGTAATGCAAACGTTTATTTTAATTAGACTTTTTTTTTTTCCCTCAGGAAGAAAGACAGAATTCTGTGCTTTAGTGCAATGGTTCTCCAGTCTGCAGCATGCATCAGAATAACCCGGAAGGCTTGGTAAATACAGATTTCTAGGGACCACCCCAGACTTTTTGATCCAGAAGTGCTGAGATGTGGCCTGGGAATTTGCATTTCATTATGCTCCCAGATGATGCTCATGCTACTGGCCTGAGGATCACACTTTAGAAACTAGTGATTTAATGGCAATGCATATAAACACCTTTTAAGACATGGGTTGTAAGTAAAACTCCAGTTAATATAGTTTAAAAAATATGCAGCATGGAATAGAATACTACATGGCTCTGTTTGAAGGGAACTATAATACTATGCTTTGGATTTGGCTTTGATAAGAATATCAAGCAATCTTTAAAATTTCATAATTTTCTGGATTTGCAATCTACATAAAGTAGGTACAGAGAAAGCTAATGCTTAGATAAAATAATTTCCTTTAAAAGCAACAGTTCAGCTGGGTGCTGTGGCTCACGCCTGTAATCCCAGCACTTTCGGAGGTGGAGGCAGGCGGATCACAAGATGAGGCATTTGAGACCAACCTGGCCAACATGGCGAAACCCCAACCCTACTAAAAATACAAAATATTAGTTGGGCATTGTGGCTCGTGCCTGTAATCCCAGCTACTCAGAAAGATGAGGCAGGAAAATCGCTTCAACCCGGGAGGTGGAGGTTGCAGTGAGCCGAGACTGTGCCACCGCACTCCAGCCTGGATGACAGAGCGAGATGCCGTCTCAAAAATAAATAAATAAATTAAAAAAAATAAATACATAAAAATAAAAAAGCAACGGTTCTTAATAGTTTTTATTTTTCAAGACCTTAATTTTAAGACTTGTACCATATAAATCTCAAAGCACTAAAAGATAAACACTTTAGTACTTTGACCAAAAGTACCCAATCTTTTTGTTTTTATAAAATACCAGCCCACTCCCATATTAAAGTTTTTTTTTAAAAAGGAAATCACACTACCAGCTTTTAACCTATTTCACATTCAAATTTTTAAAGCATCTCTCACTACACCAAATACTTCATTAGTTTGGCAATCATATATGGATAAAAAAGACAAGAGCAAATTATCTAAGGCAGAGAAAGTCTATTTGATATTAAAATATTTCACTATGGAATGAGGCATAGCATAGACAGTTTCTGAAGAGCTGATGATGTCATCTGTTTTAATAATTGTACACTTGATTAGAAATGGCCTTTGTATTTCCTTATTAGAGCATATCTGGATTTGGTAGCATTTTCTTTTTCTATTGCTTATGCATATATATGGGGCATCTGTGGTCAGATATTATGGTTCTGAAAGCCAACTTTTTAAATAGCTTTGTACTACCTCTAAGTGCTTCTATATCTCATCCACTCATCAGTCAAAGGATAAATTCACATTGACGTTGCATCCAACAAGTTTACTCTAATTGGAGATTTTTTTTCCCCTTTTTCTTCTCCTTTCGGATCCAATTATATTCTCCCAATTAGGATCCCTTTGTGACCAAATGTATTCATTTGGGACATCTCAGCCAAGATTAACAATACACCCTGTGATGTTAATTTTATTATTTATTAGGTCTACAATATGATCTGATCAAGTCAGCAAATGTCTTACACAGTAAACACTGGACAGCTTTTCAAAAGTTTAAAATAATTTCTAATTCCCATAACCACTGCTCAAGAGCTAACATTTAGGAAGGAAATGAAGGTAAAGAGGAAAAACCCGGCAGTTTCAAGAGTGAGTCCAAACACACAAAATATGGCTGAGGAATGGTTAGTCCTTTGTTCTTTCTGCTTCAAGAAATTGTAATGAGAAATTGTAATTTAGAGAGTTTTAGTCATATATATTAATTAAATAATTCAAATAATGTCAAGATATGGCTAGGACAATTCTCTTTATAATTCTTTATTTCTAGAAGCTATTGAAAAGAGAGTTCAGATTTATACAAGATCTCTGGATTTCTTGTGTTACTTTAAGGTTGAAGAAAGGGCCAAAGGCTCTCTGATGATCTCTTGATAGTCTAAGATTAATTTTTTGGTTGATTTTTTAAACTAGTCCTCAGAAAGTCATCTGAGAAGTACTGATTGATACACACACTTTTCCCCTATCATGACTTTTCAGGAATTATTAGGAAAATCATTAATTAGGGTTCTCCAATGAGCATGTCTGAAAGTTAAAAGGGACCTCAGCAATGATGTAATTTAAACTGCTGTGAAGGTAGGAGCCCCTTCAGCAGCATCCCTGAGAAGTGGTTACTCAGCCTCTACCTTAGTGCGTATCTCCATTTTAAAGTGTCCACTTCTATCTTTAGAGACAGCTGTGTTACTACAAAGTTCATTACAATAAATAAACATGTTCCTTTCCATATTTTCTATCCACTGATCTTTACTTTTTAACGGAATAAGCACATTAAAAAAATTATGGCCCTCACAATTCATAAATACAAATATACACAGAATCAATCATAACTTGAATGTCTAAGTACCACAAGTTGTACTGGAAACTTCATAAACATTCCATCTTTAATCCTTATGACAAACTTTATCAGTACCTATTTTATCCCATTTTATAAGTGAGGAAGCTAACAAAGTGAGAAATTTGATCTAAGGTCACATAATTGGTTAAATGACAGTTTTTTTTTTTTTTTTTTTTTTTTGAGGTGGAGTCTTGCTCTATCACACAAGCTAGAGTGCGGTGACATGACCTTGGCTCACTGCAACCTTGCCTCCTCCCAGGTTCAAGTGATTCTTGTGCCTTGGCCTCCCAAGTAGCTAGGATTACAGGTGTACGCGTACGCCACCATGTCTAGCTAAGTTTTGTATTTTTGGAGACAGGGTTTCACCATGTTGGTCAGGCTAGTCTCAAATTCCTCGCCTCAAGTGATCTGCCGGCCTCATCCTCTCAAAGTGCTGAGATTACAGAGAAGTGGCAGGTTTTGAATCTGCATCTATTTGACTATAAAGGCTCAGAGAAGAAGCCTGGGGGTGGGGGGAAAGGCTCTTTCAAATGCCTCTCAAATAAATCAAACAAGGTTCATTCACCAGGCATATGACTTACTCTTAATCATTCCTTCCCTAAGGAAACATATACTTTTAAATCATTTATTCTAGACTATTACCCAACACCAATCTCATGTTAATAGATTTTAATTTGCAGAATCAACTTTTCTTTTTCTTTTTTTAAAATAGCAATAGGTCAGGCGTGGTGCCTCATGCCTGTAATCCCAGCACTCTGGAAGGCCAAGGTGGGAGGATCACTTGAAGTCAGGAGTTCAAGACCAGCCTGGGCAACATGGTGAAACCCCATCTCTACTAAAAATACAAAAATTGGCCAAATGTGTTGGCCTGTGCCCATAGTCCCAGGTACTGAGGAGGCTGAGACACAAGAATCACTTAAACCCAGGAGATGGAGGCTGCAGTAAGCTGAAATTGTACCACTACACTCCAGTCTCAGTGACAGAGAGAGACGC